AATAATCAATGGCCTTAGTATGTCACGAAAGGCTGAAAGACAAGTCCTACCTGGCTGGAACATACTTTGGAAATAAAAGATGACCAGAATAAAAGATCCCAAACAAGTGGCAAGTATCATCCGGCATATTCTGCTCATCCTCATCAATTCCACGAGGGTTTGTTTCATGGCCAGGGTTAGAAAACCGTTTAAAAAGAGGTGGATGTTTTGCGGAGACTGTCGTACATAGATGGTGCTGATGATAATACAAGAGGTGAAAGGCTCAATCAGCTCAATACTGTCTCTGGAGCGTACTATTCCTGTTCACACGCTCCGTAGAGGGGGAAGAAAAACTTCAACGCCCCCTCTCGGAACCACGGGAATGAGCACGCCCATGCTTAGGCTACAGCCGCGGAGAAGCGCTCCGGCGCGGGGCTTGCAGTACAATATACCGGGTCCGGCGGATCAAGCACTGCAAATGTAGATCAGTTACAACTTCTATTGGAATATGAAAATTCAGAGAAATATGTTAAAAGTTTAGTTTTCACCAAACTTGCTAGCGACACAAGTTACTGTGTTTTTGGCTACCAGTTTTCTTATATATATATATATATATATTTCGTATTCTGTGCACATATCGTGAAACAGCTGTTATTAGTAATCTTTACACAAAGCCTTGCTTGTCACAAGAAATTAATTGCTCGACATAACATTGCCACGTTAAAATGATTTTATTGCTGTCTGGAATATTTCCTAATGCTATACAAACCGCGTGTTCCATTTAGTACCTTTAAGGTATGTAAAATAATTATAAATTACATTCATTTACATTTACTGATTTCTTTTTACTGAGTACAGCTTTTTTCTGCGGCACACATACATTATTTGTGCAACGGTTAAAATATGTGTTTTTCCTCAGCCATGAGATGAATATGCTAAGCATGTTATATTACATAAATTGCAATTATTCTGATTTTGACTGCTATGGACGAACATACAGCTACTCGTATTGCACAAATTCTGGCATGCCTGCACACTTCACCTGATTGCAGACAATAAACTCGGAGACTGGACATGAGCTTGCTTTGTACTGGAAAGCTGTTTATTGTATATAGACGCAGAAGAGGAAGACCGTAAAAAGGGCTTGGCAGCCAAGATGCGTTTGTGTTAGTGCTTTTGTGCCCTTGAGTCCATGGTGTAAATAACCTGGAATGAGGCAGCTACATCTCCAGGTTGCCGGCCAAGTATCTCCTGCTTTCCCATCTTCCGAGAGACAACGTGACCTGGACTAGCGCAGTTTTGGCAAAGGCGCGTGCCATGCGGTCGATAATGTTATGCGCAAATAATATTAATTGCGAGAATAAACACAGAGCTTGATGCTTTTAGGTATGGCACGGGCTTCTCGGGCATTTAGTTTTATTTTATAAAGCAGCGGTTTGTTTGGCGCACGAGAATGATCCCCGACGCTGAAGGTTAATTGAATTTTAGTTTATTCTGATTTGAAGGGAGCTAATTGTTCTCTTTGCTGCAGCAAAGTGTCTATTCTAAAAATAACCAACAATGTTTAAGTGACGCGTCAAGATGCAAATAAGGAAAAAAAACTATTCTTCGGGAAATTAATTTCCTGGAAACGGAGTGGAAATAGCTTTCAAAGAGTACGAACGTCTAGTCTGTGACTAACCCTGCCGCTTAATTAGGAATATGAAATAGCATAATTAGGAAAATGTCCATCAATTAGCTTTTCGCAATCGCAATATCCACGTTTTGGATCTTATAGCGACATCTGTCGGAAAAAAAGTTCAGCACACTTTATTTGATGGAAGGTGGGCAATTCTACTTCAGGGATACTGTGCCGGAGCCAAACCATCTTCGTGGAAATCCGCCTACACGTATTATGCAACTGGCGAATCCTTACAGGGATACAATGAGATTTTGAGTGCAATACCACTATTTGCCGTGATTTATTGACCCATTGTTTTTTTTTTTACCGGTACGCCGGTTTCCTTCCGCAGCTCAAAGACTTGCAGTCAGGTTAATGTCTTTCATTTGCGCATATGGTTTGATTTTGCGTGTGAAATTGCGCGTGTATGTGCCCTGCGGTGGACTGCCATCCCTCTCCGCAATCCAGACCAGGGTGCAAGTGTTTATAGGTCTAATTGGATGGATGGATGGATGGATGGATATACGTACGTTAAATTTACTAGGTTGTTGTAAAGTGATGGGGCAATCTCAAACGAAATTCAGCAATAGGCAAGATGTGTGATAAACTGTAGTATTTCAACTGTAGTAATTGCGCATGATTGAGTAATCGTGCTCTCGGCTTGATACCATGTTTTCACGTTCTTTATAGTCTAATAAAAACAGTGGACAACAATGTCCTTGCGTATATCAGCTACTCAAAATGGTTGAATTCTTTTCATTACACCAAAAGACATTCATTAAATTCGAAATAAAATTAAACCCTCTTTTCTTTAACTCTAATCAGCAAAAGCAAAAATGTAAATAAATTCAATTTGTCACAATAGCTGTCAAATTGAACTTCCTGCTCAATCACAGAAATACGTCGATGCTCGCGTATAACGGCGCAAACATAATAAACGGAAGGATTTGAGTATTACACCACAATAACTTTCCACTTCCCAGTTTATTTGGATTGTATAGGATTTAACGATGATTCATCCATTTTGAAAAATGGATTTCACAGTTTCTGCCATCCTCACCTGGATAAGTGGATGTGAAAAATGAGTGCATGTCAGTTTTTAGCAACACTTTTCCCCGATGACGTGTTTTCTCTTGTCAAATACGGGGCTTTTTCAAATGGTGCATTAAAGCGCGTCGGGCTCAGCGAAGGAAGCCCGACTCGTCGCATCAAAGTACGAGTCTCCGGTGTAACGCGGTGCCTATTAGAAACGCGCTAAACGACGAGGCTCATTGAAGTGCTAATGGGTAATACGCGGGTCCTTCTCGTCTCGTATTTTAGAACTCGGTAATTATCACCATGAATTTTAATTACTGTAGCTGCGTTGCCCGGCCCACTCGGGTCGGGGATGTGGAGCAGGGGCGTTTGAGTATCTCTGCCAGAGCCAGGGAAGAGTGGAACGACAGAGAAGCCCTCCACCGGGCAAATAACACCATCAATCAGGATTACTCCTATTCAGGAAAGATGTTTCTGACATAAATAAAAAACTGAAGTATTGATAGTATGTCTGCAATGCAGATGAATGAAGTTAGTAATAAATTTTAACAACGTCAGTCTTGGATCACAGTGCAGATCATTGATAGCAGAATCCCCATCAGTGATGAAAATATATACAGCCTGTCTTGACCTCCCTTGTAACTGCCATTTTATTTGTTTTTCTTTTTAAATGAGACCCAGGCTGCCCTGGAAACCTCTAACTTTTTTTTGGGTCCCAGCCAATACCTCAATTTTATCAGCCAATCAGCAGGAGACCAGGCCCACCAATGACCAGGCAGCAGTCCTTGGCTGACCTACCAGGGCCTGACACCATTAACCCGTGGCTCAGGCTGCTCGGGGCCCATTAGGACCCCGTCGTTTATGGCCGTCTGTGGCATCTCGGGGTGGTGATGAACATGTCCCTCGTTTTCTCAGCCTCTCGCACACAAACAGATGCTGCCACATGCTGGCGCGTTGATTACTTTGTAAATATTCACACACGCTTTCTCCTACATTGTAGGGAGTAAAGTACAGGGCTAATATATAATCTTTGTCTGTGCAGATGCTTAAGGATTACTACACTACACTTGAATTCATTTTCTTCTGGAGAATATGAACAATGTAGATACAGATTCAGTCCTGGATGAGAAAGACTAACTCTGCATGCCAGTAAAGGGGTGTGTGAGGTCAGTATGGGGCTCGGCCACCGTGCCTATGATTGGAAGGTTGCTGGTTCAAATCCCAGGATAGGTACAGTGATTTCACCGCTGTGTCTCTAAGCAAAACACATACTCCCTGATCACTCCAGGGAGTATCTAACTCTGCTTCCTCTCAAGAATATGTCACTAGCTTCTCGTAAATAAATAAAATTTAAGGTGATTGAATGCCCAGGTTTTGTAGCTAGGTCAGGGTTATGCCACAGTCCTCCACTCACAGGTCTAGGTGCTGATACTGTGCAGGTTTTACAGCTCAGAGCAGAGAAGAAGTGATATATTACTTTAATTAGGTAAATGACAGCATGCATCAGTGTTCTGGAAGAGTGCTACACAGTTCAGCTTTCCAGAGTAAAGCGGAGCGCCGTGCACCACAGGGGTTGAAAGCAGTCAAATTCAGCCTGTGAAGATCAAGGGGATAAAAGAGAGAACAAAGATACAATGCAGTAGATAAAACGCAGTGAATCTGACAGAAGGCCGCAGGTGCGAGACAGACCCCGAGGCTGAGCATTACGATGGGACAGCTTGGTCCTGTCCCGTATCCGTGGTAACGTTCAGCATATGCTCAGGAATGGACCCAGCCAACAGGGCCACTGCAGGGCAGATTCTGGTCCTACATGCCGAATGATTACAAACAATGGAAATGAGTCAGGCGCGTTGGTGCATGAGATAATGGTTTCCAGGTCCCCCCCCCCCCTCACAAAACCCCCAAGATTTCATCCAGGGAATCTGCTCTGAGTCATCTGCACCTCGGGTCTAAGGACGGCATGATGAAGGGTGATCATCTGCGATCTGAATGTCTCCAGTCTCCAAGAGGCCACACTGTTGTTGGATGTTGAAGGTGCGTTTGGGGGGAGGGGGGGGGGCGATCACAAATGCTGCTGTGGTTCTGACCCCATCCGAGTCCAGCCTGGCAACTCCATCGCTGCTTCACGGGCGAATGTACCTGCGACGTCAGCACGGCTCCGCATTTCAGGTGCCGCGTCAGATCGGGAGAGAAAAACGAGGCCATCTGGAGTGTAATTATCTCGGTGGCGCATTTGGGAGGGTCATGTTTTAAGGGGCACGTGGGTAGGGGCCGTGTATTTGAAGTTTAAGTGCTTCTGGTTAACTCAAAGTGCGAGGAAACACACATCTGGGGTTTCGCATAAAGCCCGCAGTCTTGCCAAGAAAGGGAACATTCATTTGCATATCTTTCAAAGCACATCTGAGTCCTTCAATCCCATAGAAGCAGTTCTCCTCTTTAGTTTGTTTTCAGCAAAAATAGAAAGAATTTTCATTTCTAATCTTGGAGCATTTTATTTTTGAAGAATATGTACATCGCTGTCATGCCTTTTAAAAACTTCTCTAGACTTGATTTACTTTAACATGCAAATTGAGGTGTAAATAAAACATTCGCTGTTATTTTCCATAATGGCTGAAAATCTGTTTGCTGGATCAGCTATTAAATGACATCTCACCTTCAAGCTGAATTCAAGCACTGAACCGAACTAAATTCAACATATCTGAAATTAAATCTGTGCGGAGAGTCAAATAGCCTATTAAGACAACTCTAACAGGTAAATTAGGTCTGCATTGTCAGACTGAGTACCCAGATCTGTGCTAAGACTAGTATCTGCTTGAGAAACACATTCTTCCCCATAACATAATGAATACAAACAAAATGACAAAACAAAACTAAAACAGAAAACAAAGCAGTGTAGCATTGGTGTAGCAGTGCATCAGTCCCCGCCCACCTGTCAATCAGGCTGCAGGCTGAGACGTCATTGGCTGGCCGCGAGCCAGACTGCTGCCCATTACTCCACATATCATGCCGAGGACAAAAACGACACCTCGTTCTCTCCCCTGCTGCGGCACCCGTTTCCATGGCGACCTGTCCCACCTTGCCGGCGGTCGTTTCGCCGGATCACGGCGTGAGCTCGCTGCAGGGCGGCTAGCCTCAGCACCCCCCTCGGACGGCCGCGGTGCCGTCAGCGCGCTGGGTTATCGTCAGATCGGTTAGCACCTTGGAGAGCACATGGAGACACACACAGACGCGGGGGTGGGGGAGCGCATCAGCGGCGAAACAGACATCCGGAACTTTCTCAGCATGTACACAGTGCACATTTGAGAAACTTCAAGGCTTTACGAAGCTCCAATCCGTTCTTCCAGATTTGTTACCATTTTTTGAGCCTGAACATATTTTTTCGGCAAACTACAAACGGGCTTGGCATCAGAAAACCTCATCTGCAGATGGTAGGAATACATTATCATGGTAATGGAGGTGCAGAGCCTCCTGCAGGTGTGAATAATGGCTGGACGGGGCGGGGCAGGTGTGTCACGGAAGCGGGGGGTGGGGGCTACAGGCGCAAATGTGAACAATGAGATACCCACAATGCATGATTCGCTGGATGGACAGGTGAGGAAAACCTGTTCTGACTAGGTCTGATGGATCATACTGGGAGAGGGACATGCAGAACGAGCGATCATACTGGGAGAGGGACATGCAGAACGAGCGATCATACTGGGAGAGGGACATGCAGAACGAGCGATCATAATGGGAGAGGGACATGCAGAACGAGCGATTATAATGGGAGAGGGACATGCAGAACGAGCGATCATACTGGGGGAGGGACACATAGAATAGATGAGCTGGAGCATTTCCACAGGAGGAGCAGAGCCCCTGAGCCGCCTACAGACCTCAGCACACACTGGGTGGATCCCGATGGTGGCGTCTAGTTGCCCCTTGGTCAGACCACACTTGAGGGCCACAGCGAAGCCCTGGATGATCTCCCCTGCATTGGGGCCCAGGACATGAATGCCTACGACCCGCTCCTGTGGACAAGGGAGCACCCTGGTCATAAGCAGGTTAGAGTCACACTGGGACATACCGAACACCCCCTGCTGTCCTTCTGATAATAACTCCCAGTTAAATTATAATGTGTGTGACACTCCCATAATAGCCACATTTTTCACCGCAGCCCCCCCCCACCCC